GCAGGAAAGACAGACGTGTACCCGACCGTCTGATTTTTAATGCTGTGTGCTGGCCTGTATTGGATACTATGGTTGCATCTTCCTTACTCCGAGGACACTGTCCTCACTGCTCCATCTTTCAGGATTTCTGCCAAGTTCAATACACAGAGGAATCATTTCTTTTAAATTGGGTCACCAAGGTCCCTTTTGTTTATTCATTTCATTTCAGCTTTGGCAAATAAAACAACCGTTAATCTCGTTAATGTAAAAACTTCTTACTCTATCCATAGAATCAGAATATCAACCCTTTTAAAATCAGAGAGCTCCAGATACTCCAAAAACCTTTGATTATTATCTTACTTTCAATCTTAGAGTTTTAAAATGGGATGAAGTCCTTGACAAGAATAATTTGGCAATGTGCTGGAGATGACAATCTCGGAGCTCAGAGGCATTCCAGAGTGCCTGTAGGGCAGAGATGGTCCATTAGCGACAGTGGCCATGAGTCCAAACACAAGCCTCTGCCAACAAGGTCCATTCTTCCTAGCACTCTGCAGGGAAGTTATTTTTAAACTTCCAATGGAAGCAATTATTGACTCTCAGAAGGGTAAGTATGATATTTGTGATTTCACTTTGTGAGAGATTAGATCAGGATTTCTTTAGAGGAACAAATTTGCCTTACTTTTATCAAAATCAGTGATGTATAGAGGTATTTGAAAAATTGTAAAAAGAATTAATTTTATATTATAGTTCTATTTTCTCTAGAAAGCATGGCCTTTGACTATATGGCTTAGCCAAGACAGTGTATAATGAGTGTTATCTAGATGGTTACCTGACACTTATCTGACATGAACTCACCCTCTACTTCAAAGTGAAAGCAATGAATGTCCATAGGAAAAATTACCTCTAAACATGACTCATTAACTACAAGATAGTGATATAATGATGGCCTCTACACTCTCAAAATTTTAAAAAATTTCTTTGAAAGACATATAGAGAAAAAAGAAATGTCAATTACAATTCCTTTTCAATAATTTTCTCATGTGTTTTGCACAAGAGGAGAGCCTTAAGGATTGGAAAAAAAGACAGACATTTTAGAACAAGGGATTCTGCTCAGTGTGGCCAGGACTGTGCTAGTACATACTGCACTGAGTGCTTCTAAGCCGAGGAAAAGGGATTGAGAGGAGGCTGGTTGGGCTGTAGAGAGAATCCTTCAGTGTGTCTCAATTTGATCTACCAAGTTATTCCCAATGTGTGCCTACAATCCCTGGGAATGTTACGGCTCCCCAGAAAGCCCGAGAATAGTCTTCCTTCTCTCTGATGGTGACTGTATGCTCTGGGGTTTTACTGGGGGCTAGACATGTCTAGTACCTGAACTTGCTCCCAATTCTAAAGGAGGGAAGATTTTAAAGATAAGCTATTCACATTACGATCTAATCAGATCCTCCAGGGAAAACGTCTTTTCCATTTATTGATGTTAACAAATCTCAGAAATTATAGACACTGATTCAAGATTAAAAATATTTGAGATTATAATTTAGTTAATTGGTAATTACTGAGAAAGAATTATGGAAGAGGTGTTGGCACAAACTGAGAACACAAAATCTTTAAGCTCATGTTAATATGTAACTGAAAGTTGAATTGAAGAGGTATAAATGGCAACAATAAGAGGAAGATGAGATATTTGCCTAAGACAGGGCGAAGAACCCAGGTATCATTCTGTTTCTTGGTTTAGGTGTTTATGACTAAGGTATGAAATAGATTGTGCAAATTGATCCATGAGCTATTTTAAGTTAAATAGCATATGACAAATTATATATTCAGTAGTACAAGTTTTGTATTTAATGTTTATATTCCTGTATTGTTTACAACATACAGGTACATTTGCAGGAGGAAAATCTAAAATCATATGTTCCAAAATATTTGCTCTGTTATTATATTTTACGTTCTTTTCCCCTTTTTACTTATCAAGCAGAATTTTTATAGTTTCCAAATTGTCCGGATAATAAAAACAGATAAAGAATAAATGGGAGATGTTTTAGTTTCCAACTGCCTTAAAATATATGAAAATAAATACAATAAGTTAGATTGGTACTTTAAAATTTTGTTCTGGCGGCCGGTGTCAGATATTATTGATGCTTACTCTTCTCTCTGAGGATACTGTCATTACTGGTTACTGTTAGGGATGTTTTTTTTTCTACATATCAGTACACAGAAGATTCATTAGTAACTTGTGAACCTACACTGTAAAAGACCCTCAGATCTTTCAACTTAATTACATTTACAAATGTCAAATTTGTAGTGAAATAAGCTCTCGGTCCAGAGAATTTCAAACATTAGCTTTTCCGCCCAAAGAGATTGTTCCTAAAAGTTTACTCGCTTTGAAAATGTTTTCGCTCTGCTAATGAAGAATACTGGAAAATAATGAAGAAAATCTTGCCTAGACATATAATGACAGAAAAGCTATTGAGGATAGGCTCTTGCACAACATGGCAGAGAGAAAACACGATGAATTCCCAAGCTGCGTGTGAATGTGCTTAGCAAGACTGACCATAAATTCACATACAAGTCTCAACTGCACATTCATTTTAAATTTTGTATCTTGAACAATTTTTGTGGTTTCACAGTGAACAGAAGCTATGAGTAACTTTTAAAAGCATGAGAGCACTACCATTGGATACATTATAGTCATTAATAACAGTAATTAAGAGAAGTCATCAAAATGTCATATTATTTATTTTTATGCAGTAACATCATGCGCTACACCTTCAAACTAAAGATGACCCTCTGTGATATCATTTTATTAGAGATCCCTACATGCATTATAAACGCAAAATATTTGAAAAATAGGGTAAAAAGATATCAGTTATTGACACTTCAGAGTTAATTATTTTGCCAAATCTTGACTTACTATACAGCATAGATGACTTTTTTCACGGAATAATGTTATTTGTAATTGCCGTAAAATAATTATGTTCCTAGAGCCTCTAATATTTCCAAAGTGTGCAGAGCTGAGTTTAATTCCATAGTGAAGCATTTGGTGTCTGTGAGCTGAAAAGAATGGGATTCAAAAGAGGCAGGTGTGTTCCTGAGGTGGGTCTCCACTACATCTTAATATAAGCCATTGAAGTTGTCCTCTGTATGACCCTACTACCTTTCAGAGTTCCAGCTTGCAAGAACACCAAAAGCCTGGTTAATGACATTTCCCTGAGCTAGTGGAATAAATGTGAGAACTGGACACATGGTTGGAGTTGACGCTGTACCCACCCTGGTAAGAAAAGAATATGTCAATCAATATATTGAATCCATTCTTGTAACTATGTAATTGGAGTCTTCCAGGAAAATTTATTTTCATTTACTTATGTAGGAAAAATACCAAGCCCTAAAGACACTGAAAACATTTGATTGCTATTGTAATTAACTTGTGATAACAGGAAAAAAAATTATAAAGGAGCTATTGACTCAAAATTAGTGTTGCAGAGTTGACCTATTAATTATCTTACTAACAGATAACTCAAGGAAGCAAAATAGAGATTAGAATGCTCATTTACACAGCAGATAAGATAAGGAAGAGCATCCAGTTATCTCTTTGCTAATGAGTATTAGCAGAGAATGTGGCTGCTTTATAGTATGACTTGACTCTTAGCCAACACTCCACTTCAAGGCAAAAAAAAAAAAAACCAAAACACCACCACAAAATATGAAAACCATGAACATAGAAATTTTTTAAAACTTAAATTCAGTGATAGAACAATATTAAGAGGTGAAAATAGGAAAGAGGAAAGCTTTGTATGTGTCGAGAGAAATATTGACATTGGCATTCATTATTCAACCAGTAACCACTGTTACGCATGTTTGGGTTGCTTTAGTTTCCTTGGTGATCCCAGTGAAATAAACATAGGTCCTAACCTCAACAAATTTATGTTATCAGCGTAAGTACCATGAAAGAAATAAGCATTGTTTGGCAATGGTGCATAAGTGGGGGGTGCGGCATCCAAAACGGCCACCGAGTTTCAAATGATTTCCCAGAAGAAATAATGTTTAGGCTGAAAATCAAAGAGAAATCAATGTCTTCAAGGTGAATTCAAGAAATGTTAAATAAAGGTAGAGTAGAAAAGGGGGAAAGGGTTGGAGGTGGGATTGGTCAAGACAGGCGCTTCCTATGCAGTTATTATACAACACATGGTATATTATGTGAGCTCAACTACTGTAATCAATTAGCTTTATTAGAGGAAACACATGGGAGGAAGAGGATAGGGATGCAGAGTCCATGAAATCAACTTTGCATGTGTTCAATATGAGGTGTATGTGTCTGTACATAACTAAATTTGAGAAAAGAGATCACTACTAGATATACAGATAGGATTATGACATATAGATTCTATTTGAAATCAGAGAACTTAATGCATGAACCCCGCAAAATGAATACACACATTATAGAAATTGTGACAGAAACATTATTTTGTTATTGGCGTTCAACATAAAATTATAACTGATTAATGGTTTTTGAGGAGCCTGTATAGCAAGCCCGAATTATTGTTTTGTAATTGTGTTTTATCAAGGACCAAGCTATAAGCTAAGGTAGGAGACTGCTTCAAAATAGACAATTTTAAGATTTCAGCTTCAAAATAGAGAAAAATGCAAGAGAGTCATAGAAAATGTTAATATTGATGACATAACAATGCACTGTCAAGAAAACCAACTCAGAATATAGGCAAAAAAATTAAAATAAATTTGGAAAAATGCAATGGAGATATAGAATCTATAAATTACTGGATTGTGGCACAGTTAAGCTGATCTACAGGAAATTTCTCTTCAAAAACTACAGAAAGGATATTTACAAACTAAATCCACCAGTATAGTAACAATATTAATCACCAAATCAAAGAATAAATTTAATGTGAACTAGTTATCTGCTTGACTTTACTTGTCATTGGTTACCACTACTGAACTTTTGACATCTCTAAATTCTAATAAAATAACTGATTTTTTCATGAAGATTGGACAAAAATAAGAGGTCATATATGAGAAACCATTCAGTAACAACATTCATTCTCCTGGGACTAACAGATGATCCACAACTTCAGGGTCTGCTTCTAATTTTTCTATTTTTTACCTACTTATTGAGTGTAACTGGAAACCTGGTTATTGTCTCACTTACATTAGTGGATTCTCACCTTAAAACGCCAATGTACTTTTTCCTGCAAAATTTTTCCTGCTTAGAGATCTTATTCACATCGGCTTGTGTTCCTAGATACTTATATAACCTATCAACAGGTGACAAGACTATTACCTACTGTGCTTGTGCCATTCAAGCATTTTTCACTGATCTTTTTGGAGTAATTGAATTTTTTCTCCTGGCCACCATGTCCTATGACCGCTACGTGGCCATCTGCAAACCCCTGCATTACACCACCCTCATGAGCAGCAGAGTCTGCAGAAGACTCATTGTTTGTTGTTGGATGGCTGGCTTGGTAATCATACTCCCACCATTTAGCTTGAGCCAAAATCTGGACTTCTGTGACTCTAATGTCATTGATGGCTTTCTCTGTGATGTATCTCCCTTCCTGAAGATTTCATGCTCAGACACGTGGGTTGTTGAGCAGATGGTTACAGTCTGTGCTGTGTTGACCTTCATCACAACCCTTCTTTGTGTCGTTCTCTCCTACATGTACATAATCAAGACTATTATAAGATTCCCTTCTGCTCAGCAAAGGAAAAAAGCCTTTTCTACCTGTTCTTCTCACATGATTGTGGTTTCTATCACCTATGGCAGCTGTATCTTCATCTATGTCAAACCTTCAGCAAAAGAATCAGCAGCTATTAACAAAGGTATAGCTGTCCTCACTACTTCCATCGCTCCTGTGTTGAACCCCTTCATTTACACCTTGAGAAACAAGCAAGTAAAACAAGCATTTAAGGCCTCAATCAAAAGAACTGTCTTATCTTATAAGAAGTAAAGGGATGCTCGAGTTGATGATTCAAGTTTTCTTAAGAGATTGGCTTCCCAAAGCATATATCATTAAGTTCCTAAAATAATGTGTTCCTTCCAAATCTGAAGTCCATTAAATTAAATTTCTCGAAATCTTTCCTGTATCCAACACTTCCGTTGCTTAATAAGGTGACTTCCTGCAAGTAAAACTCTTCTATTGATATTATGTTAATTGTTTTCTATAAGGGACAAAAATATCACACTGTATCCAGCCTTACCAAAAAGTGCAAACCAAAGAAAATTTTTGGAAAATAAAGTTGATATTAATAAAATATGAGATTTGCAATAAATCAATTAAATAATTACGTTAACTTTAACTATTCTATCCCTAGCTTCTCAAACAGTCTCTTGATTCATTACAGATACATTCATTGAGGGTCTCCTTCATGTTAAATAATTGAAATAAAACACAGAACAAAACTGACAATAATCCTGCCTGCATGTAGCACACATCATGGGACATTTGTATACCTAAAGTGAAAAAACAAACCAACACCATTATTCAGAGGCAAAATTTAAATGAAAGGCAACCAAAACACAACTCATGAAAATCAAATATAGATCACGCAGAATTCATCTATAATACTGAAATTATTAAAATCACAAGTAGGTTTCTTAAGTAAAAGTGATAAAAGCTCTTCTCAAAAGACATAAGAAGTTATAAAGAAAAAGATATAAATGATAATTGAGTTTGAGGCATTAGTGTCATCACTGGTAATGCAAAAAAATCCAAAAACCTGAAGCAAGCATTGAATCTTCACATCCAAATGGTAGCTTAGGGAAGCAAGCAAGTGACAGCAAATCAAAGGAAACTTGATGTACTCATGAAGAAATTAAGAAAATCAAACCAAAAAAATACATGAAAGCCTCAGCCAATGTAATACATCATAGTAATGTAAAACTTGCATTGCTAAAATAGCACTAATTTTGTTTGAATATGTACTATAAGCACAACAACAAAATTAAAATGTTTAATATTTTTTAGATTATCATGATATATTAACAACTAGAGATTGGAATGAAGATAGGCCTAACAGCATAGCACCAAATTATTTGAATTGGTATTGAAAATTCAATTAACTATGAATAACTATCACGAAGGAGTTATGAATATCAAGACCATGCTTATTCCTAGAGCAAGACATTACAATAAAGGAGACAGGACAGGCAATGAGGAGAAGAAATTTGTCCAGTGTTCTCAGAGTTTCTTCTAATAGAGGAAGAATTCTCATATAGCCAATATAGCAATAGTTTCGTTATCATTTCTTCTGTCTATTTTGATATGTGTGCTCTAAAATTCTCTTGACTCAAAATTTCCCACTAACTTATCCCCTTTTCCAAACCTCTCCACATTTCCTTGACTGGCCCCCTTTATGGAAAACCCTAATTTGACAAACCTCTGAGTTCCCTAATGGCGTGAAGTGGCACTTTTTATGATCAACATTTGACTCTGTTGCTATTAATTTATTTTTCAGGTATTAAAAACTTGCAGGTACCCTCTGACCTACCATGAACCGGAAGATTCTGAGTGTATTGTAGGAGTCGGGTCCGTCCTGCAGCTGCACAAACTGTGGCCTGGTGGGCCCAGATGCTCAGCTCTGACAATAGTTAGATGCTTTTCCCCAAACTTTTAAAAAGTTTAAGAGAAGGGTTCTCCATACCTCTTTTCAACTAACACACCAGTACATTGGGGAAATAGCCCCAGACTTGTTTAATAACAATTCATAAACAAAATGTCATCTCCAGAGAAAGGAACTAAGAAATTATAAAAAAAGACTGAGCACTTTAAACGCTTAAACTCTCAAATTTTATTCCATCTTCTTAGAAAAGATTTATACCATAAATATATAAATATTTATATAAAATAAAGAACATACATAAATATAGAATATACATTTATATATGTATATGTATTGTAATATTTATATGAAAGACTAAAATATTAGCCAATAATTTCTGGAAAAGTTTCTAAGAATTTCTCTGAGATAAACTCTCTTAGGAGGCAGTTGCATTTCTGCTAAAATTAATGTGCAAATGCTATAAATTAAAAGCCAGTGGAATTTCTGGCCAGAGTTTCACTGTAGCTTGCACTAAAGTCCTACTCCTGAATGCACAAATATATATACACTCTTAGAACATTTGCAGTTAGATGAAGACCTTAAGAGACACTGCAATGCCCTGTCCGTATCTTCTCACCCTCCTGCTGTGATGTACACCAACCTGACTTCCTGACTTCAAACCACCAGAAGATTCATAGGGCCAAAGACTTGTTTTCTAGCCACAGAGGCTACTATGCCCATCTGTGAGGCAGGTCAGAAGTACCTAAAATCAAAACCCCTCAGGAGCGGCACTCATCCAGTGACTGAGATGAATTGATGTATAAATATCCCTTCTCCCTTGACCCTCAAGTGGAAGAACTCTGAGGCATGTGCTTTACCCTTGTCTCCAGAGTTTCTACAGTAGGATGGAAATATCTGAGTGACTGTATTTGAGAATCTTGAACCCCTAGATTCCCCTGAACTCTCCTTGCTAGACAATCATAGCCTCCTCCTACTTGGAGAATATATAAAGTCTTCATTGAGGCAAATGCATTGGAAGATGATACATTTTTTCCTTGAAATCTGCCCTCACCTCAAATCATGGCTTCTATAACAACGCCTAGGATCAAGTGTCAACATGGCCTTGCTAGGGAAGTACTTTCTCTTCTATAGAAGGAAATTAATTATTCACCAAAATACCTAATATGTACTGCAGGAATCAAGATGACGCAAATAAGAATGGATTGTGAAGGTGCTAGATTTGAGTGAGGGTTAAATAAAACACTGAATGAGGGAGAGATTATTGATATAGGGCACTCTCAGGTGGCTCAGCGTTTAACAAAAACACCTGAAGCCAGTCCTCATGTACTGCTAGTCTGACTCCTTAAAGCTTGGACACATTGGAGCCCACAGTCAATGACGTGGAGATGCCAGAGCAGTTTTACACAGTGTTTATAAACGGCGCAAAAGTCTCGAAGAGTTAGGGATGCTAGACTGGATTCATTACCTAAAACCAGAGAACACACCAGCCGGGAGAAGTGAAAGGAAATTCCCGTCACGGAACAAATAAGCAATATTCTAGTAGAGGCAATGCCAGCATCATCGGGAGCTTAGTGGTGGCTGTTTGTAGACCAAGGATTTTGGTGGGAGAGCCTGCTATTTGTCAACGAAGAGATTCAGAGTCTCAAAGGCCAGGCAACAGCACTTAATTGTCAAGGGCAAGGTGGACACCATTTTCCTAATTTTCATTTACCTGGGAATGGAAACCCAGGGTCTCTGATACGCAGAGGTCTTTGGCAACCTCTAATAGAGTAGGACTGAAATGGGCAGCAAAAAGGGTATTGTTTGATCTATATAATCAAGAAGGTTCAAGAAGAAGGCTGAGGGAAGCCATCCCCATGGAAATTCACAGTCTCTTACTCAGTGTCCATGCCTGAGCCAGTTTTCAACTGTCAAACCCAGCATTGAAGGAGAAGCCATGTCTTCTTATGGAAGGACATTGCAATGCCACCGAAAATATAGAGAAAAGTTTTCAATCCTTCCCCAAAAGGAAGTGTGGTCACTTCTCAGAGTAATTCTAGACCTGGGAAAAAGGGACTCCCAAAGTCTTTTTAGTTTTTTTGAAATTGATCATTCAGTTTCTGTTGACACTGACTTTGACATCACAGGACACAAATGCTGATAGGGCTTGTTTGTTTGGAGACCAGGTGATGGAATCCAGTCTAGTCACCTTGCAGTGGATCCAAAGAATCCACAGTCACACCTACTAATCATTTCTCTGGACCCTTAGTGTCTAAAAATCAGGATAGACACGTTAGTAACTGTCAGAACTCCTTATTTGTTCCTTGATCTGTGCATACAGGCCTAGCTGAAATAGGCACAACTAACAACTTTTTGCAAATTGTTTACCAAATGGTTCATAACCTGCCAGTGGGAGAGTAAATCAGTACAACCACTGTGGTAAACTTCCACTCTATACTAAGGTGTAATGTAGGGGTTAAATTTCATTTCCTTCTTCCCATAGGAGTATCCAATTGACATGGCATTATTTATTGAGTCTTTCCTTCCCTTTGCGGCTGTAATTCAGGTGATGAAATAAGTCTAGATCTGTTACTGGAATTTCTATTCTATTTCACTGGCCAATTTCATTCTATTTAATTTTTCTTGTATCAATACCAAGACATCTTAATTAGTGTAGCTTTATAATGTCTTGATATTTGTAGTAAGTCTTCCAACTTTGTTATTCTTCAAGATTATCTTAGCTATGTTTTGTCTTTGGCATTATTACCTAAATTTTAGAATCATCTTGTGAAATTTCTTAAAATTAAAGTGCTACAGTTTTATTGCATTATATTGAGTCAATAGATTAGTTTGGAGAGAACTGACATTGTTATAGCATTGACCTTTCCAATACATGACCATGGCATAACCCTCCATTTATTTAAGTCGTTTTAGTTTCTCGTAATAAAGTTTTTTTGTTTCCAGAACAGCAGTTTTGTACGTATTTTAATAGATTTTTTCTTTGATAATTAATAATACTATTTATGTCACTGTAAATAATATCATTAATTTATTTTCTTTTCATTTCCTAATTCTTTCTTGCAAATACAGATACGCAATTTATATTCTTATGCAACCTCAGTGACTTTACTAAAGTCAGTGTTTAATTTTAATGTTGTCTCTAGATTCATTGGGATTTCCTATATACACAACCTGTCATCTATGATCAATAATATTTATTTTTCCTTTTTCAGTTAATTTACCTTTTCTTTCTTTGGCCTCTTTAAACTGGCCAAAAATATGAATACAGGGGCCTGCCTGGTGGCGCAAGTGGTTAAGTGTTCACACTCCGCTTCGGCGGCCCAGGCTTTTGGGGTTCGGATCCCGGGCGCGCGCCAATGCACCGCTTGTCAGGCCATCCTGTGGTGGC